AACCCGGGTAGCAAAGAGTTCAAAACCGACAAACTGACGGGTAAGCCTAATTTTCCCTCTTGGATTATGGATTCAGGAGCATCTCATCATTTGACAGGTAGATTTGATATTCTGACAAATGTGAGAGATATGGCTCCGGTTCTGATTATTTTAGCTGATGGTAGAGAAAAAGTGTCGGTTAAAGAAGGAACAGTTAGGCTTGGTTCGAATTTGGTCATGAAATCTGTGTTTTATGTTGAAGAATTTCAGTCTGATTTGATCTCAATTGGACAATTGATGGATGAGAATCATTGTGTGTTGCAAGTGGCTGACCACTTTCTTGTGGTGCAGGACCGCATTACGAGGACTTTGATTGGAGCGGGAACTAGAGTAGGAGGGACGTTTCACTTTCGTAGTACGGAGATCGCAGCATCAGTCACAACAAAGGAGAAGGAGGATTATGAGCTGTGGCATAGTCGGATGGGTCATCCTTCTGCGAAAGTCGTCGGTCTACTTCCCGCAATTTCTGTTTCCGTTTCTTCTTCCAATTTGAATAAAGCGTGTGATATTTGTCTCCGCGCCAAGCAAACAAGAAATTCTTTTCCTTTGAGTATGAATAAAACTTCACGAGTTTTTGAATTGATACATTGTGATTTGTGGGGGCCTTACCGAACACCGTCGTATTCAGGAGCAAAGTATTTTTTAACGATAGTGGATGATTACTCAAGATGTGTCTGGTTATATCTGTTAGCTGATAAAACTGAAGCTCCTAGGCATTTGAAAAATTTCTTTGCGTTAACAGAACGTCAATTTGGGGTTAAGGTTCAAACAGTGAGAAGTGATAGTGGATCGGAATTTATGTGCTTGACCACATATTTTCATGAACAAGGAATTGCGCATGAGCGCTCTTGTGTATCGACGCCTGAACAGAATGGCCGAGTAGAGAGGAAGCATCGCCATATCCTGAATGTTGCGAGAGCATTGAGATTTCAAGCAAATCTACCGATAGAGTTTTGGGGTGAGTGTGTGCTTACGGCTGCATATCTGATTAATCGTACACCAAGCTCAGTTCTTAACAATGTTACTCCGTATGAGCGTCTGCATAACAAACAGCCACAGTTTGATCATCTGAGAATTTTTGGAAGTTTGTGTTATGCTCATAATCGAAAACGGAGTGGTGACAAGTTTGAATCAAGGAGTCGACGGTGTATCTTTGCTGGTTATCCTCATGGCCAGAAAGGTTGGAGATTGTATGATCTTGAAACAGGAGAATTCTTTGTGTCAAGAGATGTTGTTTTTTCAGAAACAGAGTTTCCATTTCAGAAAAATTCAACTTCAAAAACTTGTGTCGTGGAAGAAGAAGAACAAGAACTGTGGGCTCCAATTTCAGATGGCCCATTGGAAGAAAATGAAGGAGAAAATCATTTAGGCCCAATAAATCAGACAAGCCCAATTGATGGAGACTCAGCCCAAAAAGGATCACAGCCTCACGAAATTGTTCCAGAGGCTCGTCTCGACGGAGCTTGTGCTTCAACATCAACCTCTGTCATTCGAAATCCGACAGAGGAGGGTCCGGTGACTCGACCTTCGGTTCAACCAGCTAATAAGACTGTAGCACCGGTGCATCAACCTGCGACTCGACAAGGTGCACGCAAAAGAGAACCTCCTGTCAAGCTAAAAGATTATGTGGTTAATTCTGTAGAGTTTCAAGCGAGTACCTCAACTTTTGATAAGGTCAAATATCCAATTTCCAATCATGACAATGGCTCTCGATTCTCGAAGTCTCATACTGCGTATATGGCTGCGGTGGCGACGGCCAAGGAACCCAAATCGTATAAGGCTGCGGTTGCGGATGAGCGATGGCAACAAGCAATGGGAACAGAGATTGATGCCCAAGAAGAGAATAACACTTGGACAATTGAAGATCTTCCTCCAGGGAAACGAGCAATTGGATGTCAATGGGTGTACAAGGTAAAGCACCATTCTGATGGAACAATTGAAAGGTACAAAGCACGTCTTGTGGCTCTTGGCAACAAACAGAAAGAAGGTGAAGATTACGGAGAAACTTTTGCGCCTGTAGCGAAAATGGGAACTGTGAGGACATTTTTGGATGTTGCAGCAAAACGCAATTGGGAAATTCATCAAATGGACGTTCACAACGCGTTTTTACACGGAGATTTACATGAGGAGGTATACATGAAACTACCCCCGGGATTTGAAGCTTCTCATCCTAATAAGGTATGTCGTCTACGAAAAGCGTTGTACGGTTTAAAACAAGCGCCGCGATGTTGGTTTGAAAAACTGACCAGTGCTTTGAAGGCTTACGGGTTTGAGCAGTCTTTGGTTGATTACTCTTTGTTCACATTAGAAAAAGATGGTATTCGTATCAACATTTTGATATACGTTGACGACTTGATCATTACGGGAAGCTCACCAAAGGCAACACAAGATTTTAAGGATTATCTCTCTTCATGTTTTCACATGAAAGATTTGGGATACTTGAAATATTTTTTGGGCATCGAGGTTGCGAGAAACTCGACAGGAATCTACATATGTCAAAGGAAATATGCACTAGATATAATCTCCGAAACGGGTCTGTTGGGAGCAAAACCGGCCAGCTTTCCCCTTGAGCAGAATCATAATCTGGCCTTGTCAACATCACCTCTACTTTCCGAGCCTCAACGATACCGGCGACTAATTGGTCGCTTAATTTATTTGGCAGTTACACGACCCGATTTGGCGTACTCCGTTCATATTCTGGCACAATTTATGCAGCTTCCGCGTGAAGATCACTGGGATGCTGCACTCCGCATTGTTCGTTATCTGAAATCAGACCCAGGCCAGGGTATTTTGCTGCGTAAAGACGGTGATTTTCAAATCACTGGTTGGTGTGATTCAGACTGGGCCAGTTGTCCGTTAACACGTCGGTCAGTAACAGGGTATATTGTGCAGCTTGGAGACTCCCCAATATCCTGGAAAACACGTAAACAACCAACAGTGAGTAAGTCATCCGCTGAAGCCGAGTATCGCGCAATGTCTTTTCTCACTTCCGAGCTGAAATGGTTGAAACAATTGTTGTTTTCTCTTGGAGTACTACACGAACAACCTATGATAATGTGCTGTGACAGCAAGTCGGCTATCCATATCGCTACTAATCCGGTCTTCCATGAACGTACGAAACATATCGAGATCGATTGTCACTTTGTACGTGACGAAATAGTTTGTGGTAATGTTCTTCCTCGACATGTTGGTACTGCCTCTCAACTTGCAGATATCTTCACCAAACCTATTGGCAGAGACGGTTTCTCTTCGTTTAGAGTCAAGCTGGGCATACAAAATCTTTATGCTCCACCTTGAGGGGGGGTGTTGGAGATACATTCCGATTTAGCTGATCAATGTTGGTTTACTTCAATTCATGATGGTTTACTCTTGGTTATACTAAACGTGGGCCTAAAGCTGTGGGATCGCTATCATCATCCCATAAAATCCGTGACTCTCCACGAGATCAGTTCTGTAAATATATTGTTTCCTAAATTGTGATGATCTGATATGTAAAGATTCTTGCTCATTCGTGTATATAATGATGTATGTAATTCTTCACAAATCAATACAGAAAATTCTGAACCTCTGTTCTTTCAATGACCACCATAAGCTTATATACGGTCGGTCCTTTAAATAGCGTAGGTTGCCTCGAAATTTTGATGCACTCTTATGTGCTAGCAAAGCTATACGTAGCACCACACTTGAACTAAACAAAAGCGAGAATTTTCCTACCATCAAGATTCCTTTAAGACAAATAAATATAGGATAAATATAGATAGGCACTTTATTGATTGGGAGGAAGTTTAAACATTGTTGTTCAGGTTATAAACAAGGTAGTGACGGAGATTGAAAGAGCCACACAGCGGGTAGCATCAGGTTGTTATAGTGCCGATAATATCGTACAAACAAAAAGATTAGGCTTAAATTTACACTAGATCAGACTTACTAACCCGTGATCGGGTCCTTGTTACCGGAAGAAGCAATGGGAGCATCCATAGCATTGAGGGCTTGACGCTTTGGGGGAGGCATTGACACTGGTCTATCTGAGGGTGGAGGTAACTTATGGGGCTCGGGGCAAGATGTGGCGTAATGTCCTTTTCCGCCACACCGGAAACAAGTTACGTCCGGGACAATTCTACCAACAATATGACCATCATTCTTACAGTTTCGGGCAATATGACCTAGATTACCACAGTTGTAGCAAACTTTAGCGGACTGGCGGTTTTTCTCCTTTCCAAATCTACCCTTATTCTTTCTAGAGGTGCCTTCATGATGAGTGCATGCTGGATGTGCTGCCTTGCTTCCAAACGTGAAGGTTGCAGCCCTTGTTGCCTTCTCCTCTTGAATGCATTCATCAACTAGAATAGCTTTTTCGACAAGATCTACTAGCCGATTAAACTCTCTAACAGCAAGACAAGTCTGGATGTCTGGTCTCAGTCCCCTGGTAAACCTACGGATATCAGCTTGCTCCTTGTCATAATCTTCTTGAAGAAAACATAAAAGCCTTCGAAACTCCGACTCATACTCCCTAACAGACCTACTTCCTTGTTCTAGCTTAATAAACTGCAGCTCAATGCCATCCCTAGCCTCCGGTGGAAGATACTGCATCCTAAATTCATTTTCAAACTCTGTCCAAGTGTTCACATTTCTCCCATGCTCAAGTTCTTTCCACCAGAAAAAAGCATTCCCTTCCAAGAAATGCACAGCAACATCCATCTTAAACTCTAAGGGACACCTAGTCAAGTTGAAGTTCCTTTTCAACTGCTTGATCCATTCATCAGCCTCCAAGGGGTTTGCGCCTCCTAAGAATAACGATGTATTCATATCTTTCATATGGCTCAAGACTCTAAGATAATTTGGGGCTCGTTCTTCTTGCTTGGGACGACACTGAGGAGACTGAGCTCGAACCTCTCCTTCTAGATGGTTTGGGAGATACGGAGGGGTGAGAGTATGCTCAGGGATTATCGACTTTGGGGACCTTTAATTTCCGAATGATTTTCTGAACAATCATTAGATGGATCTGCTGGGTGAGACTCATTGGTACTCTGATAATTACACATTCTATTGGGTTGCTCTTTATGAATTATGGTACCTAAAAGGCGTAGATACTGCAATTCGAAATTAAGAGCATTAGCTTTTATTCTCAACTAAGCCTTTGCTCATATAAAGTCAAGTGTTTAGCAACATCCTCTAACTTCAACTCACAAATGTTTGAAAACATTTGAAAAACTCAGTTTCGGATGAACATGACTTTTAACTAGGCTCATATACAACCGAATATACTAAGTTGTAATATCCCAACATCTTTGTAATCCTCGTCAGCTAGCTGGAGGACCCGTAAACAAATAATTGCCATGCTTAGGCGGTTAAGCCTAGCCTTGAGGCAATTTCAATAAATGTGGCACTTATTATAAATTTAAAATTTTGGAAAAAATTTATAAAATAGTTTTGAAAAATATATAATAGTTTTGATTTCTATGATAGTAGATATTTTCGTGAAAAAAAATTCATAGTAAAAAAAAAATTAATATAATAGTTTTAAGCACAAATTTTATTCTTTTTCTTTTATAAAATTGTTTAAAAAAGGGTTTTGTGGAAAAAAACCCTCAAAGTCACCAATTTTTATAACTTTACCCTCCACCTCTAAAAAATACAGAATAATCCTATGAAATCCAAAATAATAGGCAATCTAACCCTTATGTATATATTAGTTAACCATCCAATCTTCCTTATGAATTTAAAAATATTATGCATTTCTCAAACAAAAAAAAAAACTCTAATACATAATATTAAACTAAATACACATCTGGGGATGTGCCTTTAGTCAAGTGGTTAAGTCCACTTGACTCCGCCTTCCCCACCGGAGTTCGACTCCACTAAGTCGCGTTACCCCGCGTAGTAGGGATTGGCTATGGATCGGGCCTTGTCGATCCAAAGATGTCAAAAAAAAAAAAAAAAAAAAAAAAAAAAAAAAACTAAATACACATCTAAGTTTTGAATAAAATGTTGTCTTTTAATGCTTATTATTTTGTGGCTTTGGGCAATTGCCCTTTAATCATCTAACGAGGTAAAGACGGTGATGTGTACAATTACAAGTAATAACTAGGCATTTCAGAACACCTGTCATACCAGCTGATCACTTAATATGTTTCCCGAAAATTTATAATCTCGAACTAGATACTTTTAACCATGAAAAATCGGATAGTTCTTATGAATAAGATATATTTTTCAAATCATGAGTATATCTTATATGGAAAACAAGAGTTACTAAAAACATGAAAGGTATCATGCCGACAAGTTGTAAATGCTTTAAACGAATCTGTAAAAACATGAGTATATCATATATGCTTTAAAGGTAAAAACCATGACAACGATTCTTACCCGTGGTTCATCGGGATCATTTGGGTCCATATCCATTCTTGGCTCCTAACCTAAAACCTGTCATATGAAAAAAAAAAAAAAAAGGAAGGGTAAGCAACTATATATATGATGGACTTGACATCATTAATCATTTCAATACATTCTTATACCTAAGTGATTAGAGATTGAAAAGATATTGATTTATGGATTTTAATGAATTTTTAAATACAAACAAAAATGTGTTATTCAATAATTGATAATTTGATATTAGGTTTTATCAAAAACATGTATTATTGGTTTTATCATTTACAAATACTAGTTTAAATATTATGTTAGTTACAATTTTATGTTATTCGTCTACTAATATTGGATATCAAAATCTACATTAATTTTTTTTTTATATATAACTTTGTGTAAGATATACAAAAACTCAATTTCTTTTCAATAAACCATGTTATTTCAACACCCACATATCTTATTGACATTTACACATCTGAAGTTAAAAAAGCAAAATTTCATATCTTATTATAAAATTTAGTTTTATAGTTTAGTAACTTGGATGATTGTGATATGTATAATGTCTACCTATCAGATTTTGGTACGTGTAAAAATAAATTATATAATAAACTTAAAATTCTAAAAATAATACAATTTGTTAATTTAAAAAAGTATATAAGTATATATTAGTAAAAATTAAAACAAATTAAAAATTCTATAACTAAAAAAGTACAATTATTTATTTCCTAAAGTACTTAAAATGATATAGTAATTTACAGTATACTTCAACAATAAAATATTTTTGATGATAAAATAGATAGTAGATTTATAAATGGAAATATAGATTAGGATGACGTATCGGCGTGTTGTATGTAAAATATGTTTTTGGAAAAATTGTGAAACTACGTTTTTGAGATGTAGCATTAGTAAAAATGATAAATATATTGGTAATTGATGATTTAACTTTACAAAATTATTGTAAAAGATGTTACAATACATCTAAAATGTAAATTAGTGTATTAAAAAAATGAAAGTATAAATAAGTTTTTGCTATAACTAATTTTTTTTTATTTACTTCTAAAAATTAGGCATGAGATTTATATCCGCCATCCAAGGATATCCGTATCCGGTTTTTGATCCAAAAAATCGGATATCCGGCCAAACGGATACGGATACGGATAGTAAAATGACGGGTATCTCGGATACTGATACGGATACGTGTACGAATAATCCTAAAATTTAGATCGGATAATGAATAGCCGGCAAAAAAAAAATTATAACTTAAAAATTTTATAACTCCATTTTTCAAGAGTTAAAACTCAAAAAACTTGTAAACCCAATTTTTTTATTTTATTTTCAATGTTAATAAATAAATCATATAATAAACAATAAAAATAAATTTCTAAGAAGAATTTAAGAAGTTAATTAATGTTTTTTTTAAGAACATCATTTGAATTTTCAAACTTTTTGCTATTTTAATAAAAATTTTGTTTTTGTAATGTTTTGTATATATAATTAACTTCTAGCTATTTTATGAATTTTTTAAGCTTTTTATGTATGATATTATTAAATCTAGAATTTTAAAACACTATTTTCGGATATTCGCAGATATCCGCGAATATCCAAATTTTTTTATGAATATTAACGAATTTAGGATTTTTAACGATTTTCGGAATTGTCGGATCCAGATCCGGATAAAGATACTAAAATGACGGATAATACAGATACGGATACGGATATCTTAGAAAGACCGGATATCCGCTCTGTTTACGGACCTACTAAACCTAAACTTTAACTGAAACAACATTTTAATATTTTTTATGAAATTTAATTTTATTCCCAAAAATTCAAAATCCGTATATCTGGAGGATTTAATTTAGTACTAAGTTTATAAATCAATCAAAATACATGAGAAAAATAAATAAAACCTCCTAAAATTTTACATAAACTAAATAATGATTGAAAAAGTGAAGGAAAAGAAGATTACCGTGGTGGTGGCGAAGGTGGTAGTTGGTTTAGACAGAGAACAAGTGAGGAGAGAAGCACAAATGTTGGCTTTTATAGATGGGAAGGCAAGTGACACGTGTGTGTTGTGTTGTCAACATAACACTTTCTTGTCTCGACACATCATGTACTTGCGCACTAAGTCGGTGTTTCTTCCAAAAACATTGGTAACAATAATCTCATGCCACATGGAATCACTTGCGATCTTATCATGTTTGTTCATGAATTTATCGATTAATTAATTAAATACACATTAGAAAATTTACAGTTATAAAACTAAATAAACATGATATGATTAAAGGGAATTTTGCCAAATGTACCACAATTTTAGAAAATCTTAGCAAATGTACCATATTGCAAATCGATTTAGCATCCATACAATTTTTAGTGTTTGTGTGGTAGAGATTGAACGATTTTACCCTTCTGCTTGCGTCAGGAATGTGTCAGGGGAAGGAGTTACAATAAGACGGGGAGCGGCTGCATTAAATGGATGTCTCCAGATCTTGTCCCCGATTGAAAATTCTCTGTTGCGTTTAGATCTTGTCCCCGATTTCATCAGCTTGCTCTATTATTATGAATCCCAGATGATATGGTTTTACCAGCCTGCAGAGATGTGGATTTACTCGGGGATAACATCTCTTAATTATCCATCGTCAGATGATGTGGTTTTACCAGCCAGATATCTAGATTAACTCGGGGACAACTTGATCTTTATTTTATTCTGCCAGAGAGCCGAAGACGAAGATCTGGATTTACTCGGGGACAACTTTGTTTTACCAGCCAGATGGACGAAAACGGTTACCAATGCGTTAAGAGAGAGAAAAAGGAAGGCAGAAATTTCGGAAGGTCACATCAATCACAGTTCCTTATTTCACCAGTTGGAAGGTAAAATGGTCATTTTACAAACATAATGTAGTATGAATGATAATTAGGATTCAAATATGGTAGAAGTGAAAACTTTTGTGGAAAAAGTGGTACCCAATCTAATTTTTTCATGATTAAAAATCATAATAAATTTAAACAAATAATATTCAGGTCTATTCACACAATTTCATTGATCAAAGAAATTATTTTCCGACATTCCCAGAAAAAAAGGTTATGTAAATCTTTCTAATGTAGTTTTGTTGCCTAGAGGTGTATCTGATGTTGGATAGAAAAAACGTATTTGTTATGAAGTAAAGGTATCAGATGAACATAAAGAGAAGGGAGACTAAAGAAGGGACACTACTTAATCTCTTTCCTTTCCTAAAAATCCATAAAAACAAAACCAAAAAACATACAAAAAAAAAGACTTCGTTTCTTTTTCTTTCATCCTCAAAACTTGTCTCTAATGGTTTAAGAAATCAACAATAACAAAAAAAAAGACATCTAGAGCTCATCGTGAGACTCATCTTCTTCCTCAGTCGCTGATTCTCCTCCTGCACCTGGTGCTCCGCCAGATCTCTGGTAAACTGCCGTGATGATTGGGTTACACACTGCTTCTACCTCCTTGAGCTTCTCGTCGTACTCTTCTTTCTCTGAGTTTTGGTTCTCGTCGAGCCACTCCAAGGCCTCTTTGGTTGCTGCTTCAATCTTCTCCTTTTCATCTCCTTCCAATTTGTCTGCAAGCTTGTCCTTGTCGCTCACTTGGTTCTTCATGTTGTACACGTATGTCTCCAAGGCATTCCTGGCGTCGATCCTCTCCTTCACCTTCTTGTCTTCCTCTGCAAACTCCTCTGCCTCCTTTACCATCCGGTCAATCTCTTCTTGGCTCAGACGACCCTTCTCGTTTGTGATTGTAATCTTCTCTGATTTTCCACTCGCCTTGTCCTCTGCTTTCACATTAAGGATACCATTGGCGTCCACTTCGAATGTGACCTCGATTTGAGGGGTTCCTCTGTCAAAACGAGCTCAGGACGATTATTTTGATGTTCAAGATGTGAGACTGATTTACCATTACTAAGTGGTAAAAGAAGAGGAAGCAAACCTTGGGGCTGGTGGAATTCCGGTGAGGTCGAATTTCCCGAGCAGCCTGCAGTCCTTTGTGAGACTTCGTTCACCTTCAAAGACTTGAATGGAGACAGTGGTCTGCTGGTCTTGGTACGTTGTGAAAACCTGAGATTTCTTGGTTGGAATAACCGTGTTTCTCGGGATCAGCTTTGTCATCACTCCTCCTACAGTCTCGATTCCCAAAGTGAGTGGCGCAACATCAAGAAGAAGGATATCTTTGGTCTCATCACCGCCTTCTCCGCTCAAAATACCACCCTGAACAGCAGCACCATAAGCAACAGCCTCATCGGGGTTCACACCCTTGTTTGGCTCTTTACCTTCAAAGAAGTCCTTCAACAGTTGCTGAACCTTTGGGATCCTGGTGCTTCCACCAACAAGGACAATCTCATCAATCTGGCTCTTCTGTAGACCAGCATCATCCATGGCCTTCTTCACAGGTCCCATGGTCTTCCTGAACAAATCATTGTTCAGCTCCTCGAAACGAGCTCTGGTGAGTGGCTCAGATAAATCAACACCATCAAAGAGAGACTCAATCTCTACACGGACTTGGTGCTGACTACTGAGAGCTCTCTTTGCCCTCTCACATTCCCTTCGGAGCTTACCAAGAGCCTTGTTGTCCTTGCTGATGTCCTTCTGGTGCTTCTTCTTAATCAACTTGATGAAGTACTCCATGATCCTGTGGTCAAAGTCCTCACCTGCACAGATCACAACAACAAAAGGTTAGCACCAACATCACACTAAAGCAATCCCTCAATGTTTGATACTACGTCTCCATTCTGACACATGCTATTGTTTGTGTTTTGTTTAAATATCTGGACGATGCCATTGGCACAGTAATAGTCTATTATTGGACACAATGTAATTCATTCGTGGTCACAAGTATATTACCTCCCAAGTGAGTGTCACCATTGGTGGAGAGAACCTCGAACACTCCGTTATCAATGGTCAAGACACTGACATCAAAAGTACCACCACCAAGATCAAAGACAAGGATGTTCTTCTCACCACCCTTCTTGTCAAGACCGTAGGCAATAGCAGCAGCAGTAGGTTCGTTGATGATTCTAGCAACATTGAGCCCAGCAATCACACCGGCATCCTTGGTAGCTTGCCTTTGGGCATCGTTGAAGTAAGCTGAGAATAGTCAAACACCAAAATAAACAATCAATCACCAACACAGAAAAATATATCATTCCACCACATATAACAGAGCCCAAAGTAACAACAAACTAACCTGGAACAGTGACAACAGCGTCCTTGATTTTCTTTCCAAGGTAAGCTTCGGCTGTCTCCTTCATCTTAGTCAGAATCATGGCACTGACCTCCTCAGGACTGAAAACCTTAGTCTCACCATCCTTGATCTTGACTTGAATGTATGGCTTACCATCCTTGTTCACAATCTGGTAAGGTACAAGTTTCCTGTCCTTTTGAACCTCCTTGTCCTCAAATCTGCCAAATACAACAAAAAAACAAGAGAATTAAATCAACATTCTATTCAAGGTGAAACAAACAGATAGTCCTCTCAGGATAAGTAATTACTTTCGGCCAATCAATCTCTTGACGTCGAAGATAGTCCTCTCTGGATTAACAGCAGCCTGATTCTTAGCAGCCTCACCAATGAGTCTCTCAGAATCAGTAAAAGCAACCCATGAAGGTGTAATACGGTTTCCTTGGTCATTGGCTATAATTTCAACATGGCCATTCTTGTAAACACCAACACAAGAGTAAGTGGTACCAAGATCTATCCCTATAACTGTTCCCAACTTCGTAGCCTCTTCTTTTGCAGTGGAAAACGCAAATAAACATCCTGAATCGTAAAAGTTCCAATCGTTAATAAAACTACCAAAATCACTCTATAATCCATGAAATGAATCTCTAAGATCGTGATTTATCTCCGTAATCGAGATCTAAACTTAAGATCGTGAAATTGCAACACAACATTGTAAAGAAACACATTCAAATCCAGGAACAACGAAACATTACATCAGATTTAAAGCTTCTGAGATCAAGCAACAATGCAGAGGATATCTAAATCGAAGAAGAAGAAGAAACTTAAAAGATCAGAAATCACTCACCGAAGAAGATGATCGCCAACACAACAGTGCCGTTTGCTCCGAACGAGCGAGCCATATCGGAAACTTTTGCGTACGATCTCTCTCTCTTTGTTTCGTCTCTATAGATCGAAGAAACTTGTTTTGAACAGAGAGCTTCTTTTTTTCTTCTGGTTGTAGAAGAAGTTGTGATGCTTAAATAGGTCCAGTGCCCGAAGGTGATGGTGAAGTAGTCGCTTTTTATGGAAGACGAAGAAATTTAACTATGTCATCGGAGGTTACGTGGACCAATCAGCTTCCGACGATCTATAATGTCAACCAATCAGATTTGGTCTTGTGTTGGAGTTATCGTGGCCGTTGGTTACTTCGTTTCTTCTTCTTAATTCTAGACATTAGACAATGGGCCTTTATTGGGCCCACTCTCCCGAGTCTTCTATTAGCATCATTATTGAGAAGGAAAATTTCACCACTATTCGACACTCCGGAGATCGACGTTATGACATGGCTTTCCAAACCTGGCTTCAAGCTCGGGCATGATTCTGATTTAAGCTTTTAAGTGTTCTCAAAATCAGTTTCTAGTTTTCTAGTTCTCTTTCAACAAATCGATGCACTCGTTGTAAAAACGTGAATTTTTCTTTTGAATATAATTTAACATTAGATTAAAAAAAAATAATTACAAGAATTTATTTTGACTCTCTTAAGTCAAAGATAGAGAGAGTGTAATGTAGAAGAAAGTGAAGAAACTAACAGTGAACATACTTTTCGTATGTTTTTGTGGAATCTAAAAAAAAAAGCACCAACATTGACAAAATGAGCATTACTCTCTTATTTCACATTAGTTTTGTACAAATCTTGTCATTATCAAAATACAAGGGGGAGAGATTTTAGTTTCTGGACTTGCTCATACTCATCAATGCCTTGAGCATCAGAATCTTCTTTCCTTTTCGCGATGAAGATTGCTTTATCTCCACTATCTCTGTATTTCTCGACACAGATATCGCTCTTTGAGGTTCCGGTAAGGGCTTTATAATCCACACAAGATAGCAGAAAGAGTAATTAACTAAACAAAGATGTTGAAAATTGAAGTAAAGTAATCTTTGTAAGTGCTATTATTATCTATATATACCGGTTTCTTTGGTTGGCTTGGGGAGCTTGAACGTTTCAGTAGAGATCCGGAACGTAAGAGAGGGAATCTCATAGGCGAGTTTGTTCTTTTATCTGCAAGATTACACACACACACACTTACTTGTCTGAAATTAATCTGACAAAAGCCAAGTAAAGAAAGATCATTGTTTAGTTGTAGTAGTAGTACTTGGTGTTCTGTTGTTGATGTTGTTGTGTATGATGGGTGCAAAAGAGAAGCTTCCTGTCTTGTTAACATTCCTGCATTTTACAAACCAATCGCATTACAAACAACAAAAACCAGAAACAAGAAGAAGATGAGAATCAAGATTCTACCTTGCAGTATTTGGGAGGTTTTCTAGTATTGTTGTTCGAACAGCTTTGAGGCAGATCAGGAGAAAGATTCAGATATCATATAAACATAAGCAAACTAAACAATCGAATATAGAAAACGGATTTACCACTCTTGAACCGGTGCGAGTCATCTCCTGCAGAGAAACTTGTGCCTCTTCCTTGTTCTGTGATAAAAGATCATCGATATAAGGGCGGATAATGATTGAACGGGTCAATTATGTAGGGGAAAAGAGGTTAAAGGTTATACGTACGAGGGAAGAAGTAACGCTTATGATGGCGAGGATATTGAAATAGAAGCAAATGCTGATGAGTCCCACTCTTCCCCATGTAATCTCTGCATAGTCTCATCCTCTACATACACAAAACACACACAGAGTATGTGAGACAGTTTCAAGAACCAAGATTCAAGATTCGAGACTTGAGTGTTTACTTGTTCAAGAGAAGATACACGGAGATGAGTGGTGGAGAAATGGGTTGAGTTATCAGAGAGAAAAGAGTTGAATTTGTCAGAGACAGAACCAAGATGATCCACTGTGTTCACTACTGCCTTTGCTGCATACTCTTTCAATGTCTCTATCACTCTGCAATCATTCATCAAATTCACTCGCCACAACAACAAACACATGGACTTGTAAAATATTATCGTCACTATCAAGAAAGACAAGTAAAAAAGTTACGTTTCTTTGTGTTCTTCTTTGCCATAAGATGTTTCGAAGTACTCAGCTGCTGAGTATAACTGTTTCCGCAGATTCTTTAAATCCTTAAAACACCAAAACAGAAAAGAAGATGAATCTTGAATGAATACAAAACTCACAATTTCCTATTGATCAATCTATGTTTGAGGTGAGAAAGAGGGAGAAGGATCAAACAAACCTTGAGAGTTTCTGAGAATTGAAGAGTTTGCTTCATGAAGAGTTCGTCATGATTGGAAGATTGATGAAGAACTATCGCTAAAGATGTAGAGCTCGCCATTAATGAGATGAGGGAGAGAGAGAAGGAGAAGAAGATAATGGAGTAAGTAAGAAAGATCCAAGTGGAGACACTATACACACACTCTTTAACACATTCCATACGTTCTTTACAAGTTGATTATTTTCTTTTGAATGTTAATATCAAATTAAATTTCATTAAAAATTGCGATGAGGGTTAAAAATTAAAAAAAGTAGTCGACAAATAAAACGTAATGACCCGGAAAATTGTATTTAGACCACACTTTTCAATTACTAAAATGATTTTTATGAAATTAATTTAATATTCGATCAATTATTAAAATACACAAGTCAAAACAAATATCGGAAGGAAGATTTGTAGTTGGAAAATTAATGGAGTAGAAAGTAGAGAAGAAAGAATTATTTAACATTTTGTTAATTAAAGAGAAAACAACTTCTCAACAATTTTGATACTCTTTGTCCCGTTCTCGAAAAAAAATGAATCTAAAGAAAATACATATAGTTACAAGAAGTGGGACACAAGAATCAAAATTCAATCTCGGACTCATTTAATGGAGTTGCCTTTATGAGCCTAGAAATCATTCATGTGACCATAACATATAAGTTGCATTATAACCAGACGACAAAAAAAAAAAAAAAAGAACAGAGCTAAACTATCCAATGAATCAAATCAACTGTTTGGGGAAATTCTAGTCTATGACCCAAATTGAAACGTTTCAAAGAATGAGATTACACGATACGCTCGAGCTCTCTGGCGTAACTGAGAGTCTGATTGATGAGTTGAAGTGACGGTATCTCCTTGCACGGTGCGGTTTCTTTGGCTTTTTGGAACACAACTAACCCGTCTTTTACTTCCCACTCCGGGTGCTCCTCATTTACATATGTTAACAGTTCTTGATCAGAAGAGAAGAGCAACATCTTACTACCTTCACTGACTGAGAGATGATCGTACGCTTTCTCGCTGCATCCAGCTATTTCGTCTCTAAAGATAACAATGAGATTAAGTCATGGCAAGGAGCTAAACAAGAGAAAGGGTCAATGAAGCCTATGCATTTTATTTACCTAATGGTTTTTGCCAAGAGATCCATGAAATACATGTAAGTCTCATCAGGTGCGGTTTGTCTAGCACTCAACACACGGTTATAAGCACCTTCCATGAAGGATTGCTCGAGCTCCACCGCATGCTTGATGCAAGGATTCTCCAAGGTTGCAGACGAAAGTAATTCCAGCTCAGTGTGGAATTCAGCAATTCTGTTCTGAACAAGCAGTCGCAGTAGGTTCAACCCCAGGATTAGATTCTCTTGCGGAGATGACGGAATGCGATTCCTGGTACATAGACACATTAGCAAAAGCATTGCATCCAATGAGATAATGGTGATAGCACAAGATCCTTAGTCACCTAGCATCAACATAATACGGTTTCAACTGGAAGAAATCTCTCTCGAACGAGTCTTGATCCTCCGTTTTTACGCTTAAAACAACAGCATACTCATAAATATCCCCTGAAAGTTGCCAGTTTCCAAAAGTTTACATAATCAGAAAATCCAGAAAGTAACACAAATGTCCTAAAGAATTTCTAACCAAAACTGACTCAAAGATAAGCTTACTAGCAATTGTCAATTCTTGAGCTGCATTAGGAGTATTCTCAAACAAAGGTGGAAGACTTGTGAACTTAGTCAGAAGAACCTGAATATAAGAAGACCAACTCTAAATCAATTGGTTCAAGTTAGGATTTACTCATCAAAAAGAACTTGACACTGCTATACTCACTGTTTTTATCTACAGATCCGGATTGAATTAGGATACAATACCTTAAGCTGAGACAAGAGATTGGTACATGAATCGAAATCTTTTCTTATAAACGCAGCTTTAAACCTCTCGAACTGCTGCGAAACCTCCGTTAGTTGCGGATCCATCTCTTTCTCTGTGAAACTGGCTCGAGGAAGAAGAAGAAGAACAAGATTGCGTTTTCTAATTTGGGCTGTAAATGGGCCTCTTTAATCTCAAACTTAATGGGCTTAAAGTGGTAATATGGCCCAATAGAAGCTTCCCGGGATTTTAATACGTGTTGAACAAAGTCGCTAACTTGATGCTGACACACTCACTCTCTTTCTCGTCAACGCGTTTTTTGGTGTTTGGTCCACAATCCTTAGCCTCTAAGACAAATCAACCCAAATTTTCAAAAAAAAAAAAAAAAGGTTTGAAAATAATATCTCTTTTTTTTTTTTTTTTTGTCAAACTAAAAATAATATCTCAAAATTAAATATTTGTCACTATCCACAAATAAATATCGTCTCAAAAGTCTGCCACGTCATAATTGCAATTGCTCTTCTAGACCGCGTCTCTGCTGTTACATGGTCTCATTCGTTCAATTTTATTAAGCAAATTTTTATATTAAAAAAAAAATCAGACAGAGGTACTACTAAATGGTAAATTTTGAATAAAATATTTTTTGGGGTGTAGTTATCCCTTGTACTTACAGTTTTTCTTGTTTAATAAATTACTTTTTTTACTAATCCACTTTGTCGTATTCACACGCAACCTTGAAAAAAACAAAAAAAAAAAAAAGGAAAAAAAAATAAACAATGGTTTGTGACTTTCGTGGAAATTTCTACTGGATGACACAGTTGCTCCAATTAAAAGCTTACAACTTTTTTCTTCTTCTTTTATAATTCTCACCCATTTTTCACCAATTTCTCTGCTTAAAACCAAACCCCAAATCTCACAAAATTCATCAAAGATCTTCTTCACCTGCCTAAAAATCGCAAAAAAGCTTTCAACTTTCGATAATCTCAGATCGAAAAATCAGATTTTTCCAGATCAATCAGAGAAGAGATGGAGAATAACAACAACAATCAGCAATCTTTTTGGCAGTTCAGCGACCAGTTGAGAGTTCAGACACCAAATCTAGCGAATCTGTCTCTCAACGACTCGATCTGGAGCACAAACTCTGTCTTCAAAGAGCGTCGAAACTTGGACATCGCCGCCACTGCCGACAAGAACAACCAGATCGACTATTATCAGAAGAAGACAATTTCCGACAACATCAATTCCAACTGGAACTGGAAGTCTTCTGGTTCAAACAACGACATGGGTTTAGGTTTCGGACCCGTGGGATCAAAATCCACCGTCGATTTTAACCCAATCGACAAATTCAACACACCGTTCAACGACACCTGGAAATTCAACTCAGTCAACGTTAACGTTAACGGCGATTTCAACAAAGGGGTTTACACGTCGATGAACAAGTATGGATACAACGTGAATCTAAAGAACAACAACAACAAGAACAAAGGAATCGATGAAGATCATCAGATTCAGAAAGGTGGGAAGAAGAACAGAAAGAATTATCAGAACAACAATAACCAGAGGAACGAAGACGACAAGAATAATGGTGTAGACAAGAGGTTTAAGACTCTTCCTCCAGCAGAGGCTTTGCCAAGAAACGAAACCATTGGTGGTTACATCTTTGTCTGCAACAACGATACCATGGAAGAGAATCTCAAACGCCAGCTTTTCGGTATTCATCGACACATCTTTCTTCTTACTCTGTTTCGATTGTTTTTTTGGTTTTTGATTTTTTTTTTTGTTTAGGATTGCCACCAAGATACAGGGACTCGGTGAGAGCGATAACTCCAGGACTTCCTCTGTTTCTTTACAACTACTCCACTCACCAACTTCATGGAATCTACGAGGCAGCTAGCTTCGGAGGAACCAACATTGAGTTGAATGCTTTTGAAGACAAGAAATGTCCTGGCGAATCTCGTTTCCCTGCTCAGGTACTAGTCTTACTTTCTTGCGTTTCTTTTAAGCTCTTGCTTTTGTCTGAATGATAACAAAATTTTGGGGTAATAAAAATAAAAGGTTAGGGCCATAACGAGGAAAGTGTGTTTGCCACTGGAAGAAGATTCTTTCCGACCCATTTTGCACCACTACGACGGTCCTAAGTTCCGGCTCGAACTCAGTGTCCCCGAGGTACTTTCATTTCTTCTTCAGTTCACAACCACTTTTTGTTTTTTTCATTCAGAGTCTTAAGTTTTGGTTATGTTTTTGTTGGCAGGTGCTTTCTCTATTGGACATTTTTGCTGACCAAAACCCTTGAATTGGGATACCAATGAAGAACACAAAAATAGTGGTTTGTTACTTGAAATCCAGAAAGAGAGATATACCCCCATTATACATATATGATTATAAGGAGGAGTATTAATAATAATTGTCTGAAGAAATGGTATTTTTACTAGTTTATACAGTTTTTTTTCTAAAGTATTTTCCCAGAGTATATGGGGAATTAGAAGATGTGCTATTTTTGTGTGGGTGGATGAAGAATAGATCTCATCTCCACTTTGTTTTTTTTTTTTTGTGTAAATTAAATAAAATAACATATGTACAACCCCAAAATAGGGGAAAAATGAGATGATGAACTCTTATCAATTTGTGTATGATATTTGTATAATTGCTCTCTTCTTCTTCTTACCCAATTTTATCTTGAATTTCATTTATATTATTCGGAATTATTTACATTTGTTTGCATAAAATCTTTCTACATTGTTCAGACCATCTCCAATGTAAATCTCTATTTTTTTCTCTAAAATAGAGTAACTTTAAAATAGAGCATGATTTCTCTCCAATGTATCACTCTATATGTTACTCTAAAATAGAGGTAGTGTAAAAAAAAATAGAGTTACTCTATATATAGAGCAATCCTATCATTTACTATTTTAGAGTAATAGAGTTGGAGAAAATATACTCTATAATAGAGTTTTAGAGAAAAAAATAGAGTGGGGTTGGAGATGCTCTCAGTTGTTTTCTTTTCATAGAATAATCCAGGCACTTCATGAAAGATTTGTTGAAACAAACAACATATGTGTGGAAGATTAGTTGAAGCAGCAAATTGATTAGTGAAAAGCACGTTAAGAAAAGTGTACAATTAAAGTGTATAACATGAAAATATCAAAAGAAAATTTTGTTTTTTTTTTCGCAATTTGTTTAATTTTTCTTCGTCGGCATTAATTTTGTTCTTATGCCAGATTCTCTAACCATAGGAGAAAATGTCAGAAATAGATCCCAAACTTAAAAGAAAAGACGTAGCGTAGGTAAGTGGAGAGACTAGATAATGTTATTGTCGGATATAAAAGAAGACTTTGAATTGGCCTTTGTTTTGAATCATTCATGCGTTCACACTTAGTGGAACAAACACATGGACTCGTCTCGACGCTTTATGCGGACCAGCTTGTGCCACGCTTTAACGGTGCACGTTTGGATTTGTATTCGATGGGCTGAACTTTTGTTGACATTGGGTTTGGACCTTTTGCGTTTTACATTTAATGCCGTACGACAAAAAAAAAAAAGAAGCCACTCGTAATATACCAAACTAAACGAGCTATGCCGGAATCGAGTTCCGACTTCTGTCGACATGCAGTGCCGGCTCAGATAGGAGGGCGGGCGGTGCGACGGCCAGGGGTCCAATCCCGTGTTTTAATAATTAAGGGGCCCATTTTTAATTTATTTTTTTTTATAAAAGTGTTAAAAAATTAGAATATAACATAAAAATAAAATTTAGAAGAACCCATAATTTTTTTATTTATTGTTTTTAGTATTAATAATTATTTTTGTTAATATAAATAGCATACAAATTTTTTTTATAAGAAAAAGATATTAAAAGAAAATTAAGGGCCCAAATTTTTTTTTTGCCCCAGAGCCCATAAAAATGTTGAGCCGGTCCTGTCGACATGTCGGTTCCTCTTGCCTCCTCTCCAAACCGCTCCTTCTGCCTCTCCTCCGCATTGGCTTTGAAGTGGGCTTGGGCCAAGATTCCCTTAGTGGGCTTTAACCCTTCCATCGTTAGCATCTCCCTGAGCACTGCACATGGCTTCCAAGGGAGTAAAGCCCATGAATCCTAGTGATTCTGCTTGTATGGCCCGGACCCTTGTTGTCCACGCAGCCTCTCACGTTTCTCCTGCCTCAGTTCAGAGAGTCTCTGCTACCTTCCTACTAGTCCATATTCGACTATGTTCTCTTACTTTTGTACGTTATAGTATGTTCTCGAATTTGGTTTTACCATACATTCAAATTTTCGCATTTATGCGATTTATTATTGAAATATGCAGTCTCTTTGTTGTATTCAATACGGCTCTTTGGCGCTATGAGTTTAGTTTCCTGTCTTTGGTGGCATATTGAAAAGAAATTGAATGATAAGTTTTTCTCGATGAATCTGGTTTTGACGGGTAGTTGTTGCCCGATTATCTCCTTTATGGAGTTCATTTCTCTTCCCAAAATTCCCTCTTGTGAGAAGTGGTTTGGATGTTCAATCTTCGCCAATATTGCAAGGATCTTCCTCCCGATTGATGGTCTCCTCGGCCTTTGTTGCATATATTCAAGGAACTTCCAGGATCGTTCTTGTTTTTCCATTCTTTAGGTTCTCTAGTTATGATTTGTTTCTACAATTTATCTCTTGTTTAACCATCATGTGGTGGTCTCATCGACACATGTTGCCTTATTTTCATGTAATGACAAAAGAAAAAAAAACACGAGCTACGCAAAATTGTTCACCAATTAAGATTAACCTATCTAATTCTTATATAAACAAATTAATTTGGTCTAAATCGGCATTGATCTGTGTATTTAGAAGAACTGATTTACAATAGTGTACCATCATTTTCTACTGCAACTTAAAAATCTCACCATCTACCAATTCCCCGAATTAATTAGACACATCTTTCTTATCGGGAGACAATCTTTGAGAAATCACATAAGTTCACCATAAAACTATCCAATATCGGATCGAAATAAAAATAACTCCTTTTAGATTGATTAACAATATCTAAATACTCGACTCTATCCTCTCCGGAAGCATCGCAATCCTATTGCCGATTACCTTTACGGCTTCTTCGAGGAAACTTTCAACAACTTCTCTCACGATGACCTTGTAAGGATCTTGAGAAAGATCAAGATCCAATTCAAGTGAAGCTTCTTCTCGCGCCTTGATCTCTGTTATCTTGTACAAGTTCGAACTTTCCAAGATCTTCTTCACCGTCTTCTCTATTTTCCTCTGCAGATCCTTGCCGATCTCTACTTCTTCTCTCGCTACTTCCTCCATTGATGTCATCTCTCGCCGACAAAGAAACCTAATAAGGGTTTTGTTTTTTTCTTCTGAATGAAAAAAATCATTTTAACGTTTTTTTAAAGGTTTCTTCACTATTGGGCTGTAAACTTATAAATGGGCCGATAATATGTTTAGGCCCAATTAATGTATCATTACAAATTCCAAAAAACGTTCTTCACTTTGGGCTATACATATCACTTGCTAGAACTTCTAGGCTTTTTTTTTATTGCTGCAAAACAAACAAAGAGAGAAGAACATGATCATCATTCCTCTGCAAGGTTCTCAAAGTATTTTGAAAATCTCGTACAATTTTGTTAAGCTAACTTAGGAGTTAAAGAACGTTTTTGAATGCATATGCGAAAAGACGGTCTTTGTTGCTTTGCATTACATACCTTAGTAGTGAATCACCGGTGTCTATAGAAGTGGAGGATTTAGAGTCACCACGACCAAATGCAACCTCGTCCATGCTCTGTCCTATGCGGCGGTATCTACCTCCGGCCTCCACGAACGCGGGACAAGGCCTGTAAGCCTTAATGGGCCACCAACCGAAACCAGGGACAGTTGCAATGCCACCTTGAATCCGTCCGTCACCGTTACACCCACTCTCTTTCTCTTCTTTCCCACACCCTCTGCAACCACTGTTTCATTCCTCAGGTTAGTCTAGAGACTATAGAGAGATGGATGCATCACAAATGACAAAATATCCAATCACTCAAGCCAACATGTAGATTCATCTTTCACTAAACAACAGAACACAAGGACATTGTTACAAAACATTCATATTTATGAGGTTATTGTATAGAGACTAATAGATTCATTGCTATGACAGGGTAACAATATTGAAGATTAATCTTTCACTAACAAGTAACAACAGAACATAATCCCTAATCGGCTAATCATATCATTAACTCTGAAATCCTTAAAATGTCAACGAAATTGGATTAGCTGGGAAAGGTTTAAACTTTCTAATGGAATCGATGAAGAGAAGCAAAAGGGTACCTGAAAATGAGGTCTTCTTCGTCATCACCAGTTTCTACGACGGAAGCTGGCGAAGAAGAAAGAGAGATTAGTGGATGATGATGATGATTTGATGAGTTATTGAGAATGAGACTGCTTGAGCTCGGCCATGGCCTTGATTTGTGACTACCATTGTTGAAGATGAAACATCGAGGAAGAGATATTGATGAAATGGAATTCGCCATCTCTCTTTCTTCTGTGAGCTAAAAGAGCAGAGAGTCTGAGAAGATAATGGCCACAAAATCAGAAACGCAAAATAAAAATGGGTACATTACAAATTTATTTTAAATTTTTATTGGTATTTTTTATTTGATACTATTGTTACAAAAAAATTTCTCATATTTCTTTGCAAAAAACACACTCTTATTCTTTAGTATTAAATTGACAAAAAAAAAAAAAGAGTTTAAAAACCAAAAATCACTTGCAAATCACTGTTACTACTTCCAAGTTTTCATGTAGTTAAGTTTTTAATCTAAGTGATTTTAGCTACAATGTTTTTTATATTAAAAATCCTCTAATTATGATTTATTATTGTTATCTAAGAGCACCATTATCAATAGGCTCTTAAGAGCAACATCAATGGGGGTTTCTAAACATAATCCTTAACAAATAATAAAATATATATATTATTTAAATATTAGATGGGTACCTTAAATTTGGAGAAATTTAGCCCAATTGTTTCTTAACTAAGAAACAATTGGGCTAAGTTTCTCCAAATTTAAGGTATCCATAATTAAATAATATTATTTATCTACTAGATTTTAACCCGCGGTACACCGCGGGGCTATATTTTCTTAAAAAAAATCAAAATGTAATTTGTTTGATAAATTATTTTGATTGTTAATTTTAGGATTTCACCCGTGGTATACGATCTTTTATAAATATCAACCCAAACCCGTCCCATCATATTACCCGTCCCGTGAAATTAAACATTATTTAGTTATTTTTCTTTTTAATAATACTTTTATTTAAAAGCTATATAATTCAAGTCAATTTAAAAATTTCTTTTAAATGGTTCCCATAAGATATATATACATATATATTAAATTTGTATAGAGTTGAAATAATATTAATATTACAAATTTTTTATATAATTTAAATATTATAAATATTTTTAAAAATATGTAATATATATTTTTTGTTATTGAATAAGAGGATATTATGTGTAAGAAATGTAGAAAATAAGAGTTTAATATTTTTATTATGGAGTCGCAAAAAAATCTTTTATTTCTATACATGTTATTCATTTATTAATAATAAAAGAAAACAAATCCTTTAAATTAGATATTAACTAAAATAAACGCACCATAATTATTTATTAAGTAACAACCAATAAATTTCACCAAAAAATAGGTAACAACCAATAAATTCTAAACGCAGTAATTAAAGAATGAGATATTAAAAAAAAAATATCAAATAAGATATAAGAATCTTAAAATAATTGAACATCTAAATAATTTAATTGTTAGTGTCGATTTTAATGTCTTCATTAATGTGGATTTTTTTTTTTTACAGAGAAATATTTCCTAAAGATTATCACATTAATGACTCAGAAAATTAAGGAAGATATGAATTTATGATTCTCGAAATCGTATTGGTAATATCTTTAAGTAATATTTTTCAAATTTAAATAATTAATGCCAATGGCATTCATCCGTAAATAAGATCCAACTCCAGGATTTATTTGCTAAAAGTCATTCAAAAATGTATATATAGATACTTACACTTTGATATTATTTAAGAAACCAATGCTTAGAAACCCTCATTGGGGTTAAGAGTTGTCTTAGATAACACTGAAAAAAGACAACTCTTAACTAAGAAATATGTCTTATAAGTTATAACTAACAAAAGTCTCTTTAAGTCTCTTACCTAAGAGACTTTTGTTAGTTATAAGACATATTTCTTAGTTAAGAGTTGTCTTAAGAGCCTATTGATAATGATGGTCTAAGACTACTAAAGTACTAATTGAGCCTCGATTATGAATTACATCTTAGAGTAGGCTGAACACAACCAAAAAATTTGGTCAAAAAGCCCAAAAACAAGTCTAATATGTCCCAAACAAGCCTCAAAATTACATGTTTCAAAAAATAGTGGTCAGAGACCACAAAGTAGCTAATCTTGATACTCATTAGTCTTGTGCTCCTGCTGATGAGCATTCCGATTTCTTCCTCTCGCTGTTCCTTGTCCAGCAGTCAGATTTCTACATCGCAGCAGGCTTACCGACTCCTTCAAACACGAAAGAAATGCATATAAGTATTTAGCATGGAATACATTAAGGACCTTCCGCTAAGTCGTTAGACTCTGTACCACTTACAACCTTTTCCGTGTTTTCTTTTTTGAATTCTTGTTGCAGATTTCAGTCAGAATCTCCTCAATGTCTACAGTATCATCTACATCCGTTTTCAACAAGTTACAACTATCCAAAAGGCTAAGTTGTTGAACAACACTTGGGTCAAGAGAAGTATCATCTTCTACCCTTTTTCTTACATACTCCATTAGCACAAACCCTGCAAGATACCATATACTTGTGTCACAAGATCAAAGATGAATAGCTTCACAATAACAGATTTCAGGATTTCAAAAAAAAAAAAAGTGTCGGAAGTTAGAAGAGAACCGAGAGCTAGGAGCATCTTAAGATCCAATTGGTCAGCTACTAGATCTTGGAGACCGCTTATTTTGGCGCGTTGAATGACTAGCTGCTTTAAGCTGATGAGCAGATCCTGAAGAAAATGATTGATTAATGTTAGCTTGACTGAAGAAAGAAGGAGAATAAATGGCTTGCGTCAACAATATTTACCAGTTCAGATTCTGAGAGAGAGCAAAACCAAGTGAGATCATCGGTCCTATTGTTCTTCAAGATTTGGCTTAATTCCTCCATCCTAAGAGAAGATCATGTTTCCAAGATTAAGAGAGATTAGGTGTAAACAAACATTCACTGCTTAAATCAAGTAGCTAGAGACCCTTCTTTCTAATCCTATAATATGCAAATACTAAATTCATGGAAAAAAGATAAAACCTTAGCGGGATTCCAATCTTAGCTAACAAAACAAGAGGTAAACAAGAATTCAAACCATAGATAAATAATCAATCGGGTCACTCACTCACCTTAAACTAATCAAACAGACTCCGGAGATAGTGGCAAGAGCGATGCAAACGATAAACCCTAATTAGAAGCGAAAGTGTTATACAAAAGATACGCTGAAACGTCGTTTAGAATTTCATGCTGACGTGGATCAGAAACATGTGTCAAAGACCTTTGGTTTCCCTTACTTAAACTAGTCCTAGGCATTCGGCAGAAACCGACTAAACCGAACCGACAATATCAGTTTCCGGTTTCGAATCAGTTAAGAGTTCTCTTCTGCACTTTTGATATGCATTAAGCAATAGAATCCCCTCCCAGCCTCCCCTCTTCTATTTACACATATTTTTGTATCCTTTATCTTTTTGTAAGTTGATCCATCAACAGTTGGATAGCAAATTCATAGGAATCGTTGTAGCTAGCTGCTTTCTTACTTCCTTGCCGCATTTTATCCAGCGACCCTGTGGCCGCGTTTGTCACCTCAGATTAGTCTAGAGACAGAGAGATGGATGCATCACAAAATATGCAATCATTCAAGCCAACATGGAGATTCTTCTTTCACTAAGGAACAGAACACAAAGCAGTTGTAATTACACCCTCTGCAACCACTGTTACCACATTCATTCATGAGGTTATTATGGTAAAGACTTAAAGAGATGCATTACAATCTGCAATTTAGCCACCAAACTTATTATTACTCGGTTAGGGTAAACAAAATGAAGATTCATCCTTCACTAAACAATAAAACAGAATTCTAAAAGGTTCTCAACAAATATAACCTTTCGATTCTTCTATATTTTTCAAAAGAATGAAAAATTAAACAAATATTTTGAGGAAGCTACAAAGATATCTAGCATTCGCCACAGCTTATCTAATATGAATCATTGTTGGCTTTGTAAAATAGCAAGCTGATGTCAACAAGAAGAGGGCACTATTAGTCGGCTCGCAGTCTCAGTATCTCATTTGCTGTTCTTAACCTGAAGTATGGCATGTCTTTCTGCAAAAGATAGATGAATAAAAGAGAAAATGAAAGAAAAGAAAAAACATATTTTATAGTACCGGTCTTAACACATGTTTCACCACCACCTAATTAAATTCCATAATCAACAAATTCTCATCTGCTCTAAAAGGTTGCTAAACAAATGCAGACCTTGACGACATCTCTTATTACCTGGCTAAATTGTAGACTCAATCCTCTAGTGTAAAAATCAATGTATTTAAGCATAAACATCCCACAGTCGTTCCTGCGAATTATTGCAAAAGACTAGTGTCAGATTTAATTAAGATAATATTCCTTACAAATTTGATGAATAACATAGCAAAATGGGAATTATGTACCCATTCAGTTGCTGAGGACATTCTTCAACGTATTCCATGTCCCATGAACTAACGTCAATATTCTTTTTACTCTTTTCTTTTGCTTCATCCACCAAGTACTTTGCCTTAAACAATAAATACTGGTTCAATAATCTCCAAAAATGCAAATGACAGAGTTTTATGATCAAGAAGTTATACCAGAGCATTCAAAATTTCAGGATTAACTCCATTAACTAATGAATCAAGATACACGAACTTGCGCTCCCTATTGTTAATCACTGCCAGGGACCAATGTATACCTATGTGGATTGGAACAAATATCTGCACAGGTTCATCATCAATCAAATTGGATTATATATATATATATATATATTGAAAATTTTTACAAAAAAAAGAAAACCTCACTATGTCACAGTCCATAAGATAATATCCTAGCTTTTTCTTGGTAGTCCATCTATTGACAGCTTTGTAGTTGTAACCAGAGCCGCATACGAGCTGAACAAATGTAAAGTAAGTCATGGCTGAACAAATGAGGAAACATAGACCTTAATGTATTTAAAGAAGCATGAGAAGTAAAAGAGAAAGAAAGCAAACCTTAATGTAAAAGAAGGTATTGAAGAAATGACACTTGAAGAAGTACTTTTGGGGATCTCTAGTTTCTCTCTCTTTCAGCAACTCGAGATAGAGATTAATGACCTATATATATAAAACAAAGAAGAACATAAAACATGATACACTAATAATGAAAAAAAACATAAGGAACTCTTGACTTGAGGTACGTCGTCGTTAAGCCATTGATTCGGCATTAGGCATTGTATAGTATCTCCAGAGATATCAATATTGGACTTTTTATGTGAAACCAAGATCTTCATTCTGAGATAGCAAAGCAACACAAGTGGTTAAATTCTCAATCAAGTCAATCACATGATATATGCTAATGCTGAAATATATAATAAATACCCATTGCTCCTAGAGAAGGCACTCTCAACTTGAGCTACTTCCTCCTCTTTGAGTGGTCGGAAAGGTTCACCACATAGAGAAATCTAACAAGTCATGATTGCAATTTAGAAAACAATCTTGCATTGCATCCACCAAGAAAGAGTATTAAATTAGAATCATTACCTCAGCAAGCTTCTTCTTATCTATTGATGATACTAAGAAATTGTTGCCATTTTTAAAACCCCAATTAGTAGAAGAAGAATGTTCCTCAATCCTGTCATCATCTGGAACAACTTGTTGAGATTGTGAATCTTTATGATCATCTCTAAGACGTCTTGCTGCTTTCTTTTTTAATGACACTGAAGCACGAACCCACAATTTGAATCTAAGAAACCCTTTGCAACTGGCGTGAAATTCTTGTCTGAGACTCGATGTTCTTGTAGTATTATTACAAGACGAAGAAACTGGTTTGTCCGAGCGAGCCTTCAAATCTGGGGAATGTCGGAACGAGATGTTGCGGTTGCGATTGCAAGTGTTGGGTACAATAGCCATAACTGGAGAAGATGAAGCGGGAGAGACAGGAGTCAAAATTTTTTAGGGTTTGACCATAACTTTCTACTTCACCAACTCGATAATCGTCAGAGCCATTTTCCAGTTACATATGAAGTACTCACTCACTAATCCGAATTTAATGAAAATGAAACAAAACCGATATGTGAATTCTGTTTTGGTTTACCTAAACCAACTTTACAAGAACTCCATATATCGGTTTATACAAAAATGTTTCATTAGTTACCACCTTCTCTGGCTCATTAGTTACCAACTTCTCTGGCAAAATTTCTCCCCTATACTCAGACTGAGCCAAACCACACCAAAACCGATGCGAATTCTGTTTACCAAACTATCTTCGCGGTTTGGTTTAATCAAGTTTATAAAACTACGGTTGTTCTTAGTTAGAGTGGTTTATAGAGTTTGTTTAGACTAAACTATCTCTTGGAAATCGTTTTTCAAGTGTTTAGTGAGATAACTAATACTCAAAATACAATCTCCCATCAAAAAATAATCGTTAATGTTTAAGGGAAGGCTAAACATATCTTACCAACAAAAAAAAATCGTTAATGTTTTGTTTCAACATTCACCAACTTCTATAGCCTTTCCCTAAACGCAAACAAGCCAAACCAAACTAAATTCATGTAAAATCAGTTAACAAACCAAAACGTCTTCACGATTTGGCTCTGGTTCCGTTTTCAACACTTCAGACCTTTCCTTTTTCTTTTTACCAGTCTTGGATCGTCTTTTTTCTCCGGTAACCTTTTTTCTTGGCTCAGCTGATATCGGACTACTTCCAGGAGGAAACAATCTTGGAACTTGGGAAGCTTCAGGCCAATCTGCGACGCCTGGAAGCGGATTGAAATCAGTCGCGTACACTGCAAGAAAATTTTCTGTACGGTAAAAGTCATCAACATACTGCAGATGATCAATGTTCAGCCTCCTGCAAACCGCTATCACGTGCGAACACGGAACCTTGTGAAGTTGCCAATTCCCACAAGTGCAAAGCTGATCGCTGCGATGAACAACAAAACTCAATTTTCCATCTTGATGCGTGACCTCAAACTTCTCCCGTGTGAAGTCTAATGGCAATACATTATGCGTTGTAGAATCTACCTTGTACGCTTCAAAATATGTCATGACTTGTTCCGCATACAAGTCTTTTCCATTGAGTGATTCCCCAGGATGACCACGTCGAAATTTGAAAAGCTCTGCCAGGTGATCAAAGATTAGCAAGATGCAGGTTGTGATTGGAAGATCAAGGGCTTTGTTTATGAAATCATATGTCCTATAGATTATGTTCGTTGTCCTGATCCCATATCTCAGCCCGCCATCATCATGAGCCAGAGCCCATTGATGCAGAGGTATTTCGTCTAACCATTTCCGAGCATCCGGATTCATCCCTTCAATTTTCATCAAGTAGTAATCACAAAGTGGTTCGTACGTTGTGGTTCCAGCCTTGAAAACAAACTCTGTCATGAGATTATTACTGAAAACATCATAAAATTTGTAGCACAGATGCCTAAGACAAAATCGGTGTTGCGCCCACTGACACTCAGGTTCCTTAACAACTGCAACTATGTCAGGATTCAGACTTGTTATTAGACAAAGCCCATTCCTTTGAGTTACTTTCTCTCTGATGCATGCAAAGAACCAACGCCAATTATCAGCTGACAAACTTTCTTGGGTAATAACCGCAAAGGCAAGTGGAAAAATCCTGCTTTCAGCATCACGTCCCGCTGCAACCAATAGCTTTGCAGGGTGATTACCGCTCAAGTCTACCGTATCCACTATAATGAGAGGTCTGCAGTGAGGAAACCCTTCAATTGACTGCTGAAACGCCCAAAACACAGAACGGAAGGATGCATCCTTGGGATCAGGAAAACTATCGTATTGCCAGTCTAAAACCATCTTATTAGATGAGCAGAGAGCAGCCATTAACTTGGGCAGTACGCTAAAACTCTTGTCCAAATCTCCCAAGATTGCAACAGTCGCTTTCTTTTTAGCATCCGACATAATAGAATGCGAGACTGTGTAGCCAAAGTCTCCTTTTACCCACGCGAACAGGTCCGCAATTGAGAGAGAGGGCTGAGCCTTTATGAGACCTTGGATCTCACCTGCCAGAAAATCTGAGCCCACATCTGCTGGCTGACAAGTATGTGGACCTGAATATTCTGTTATCTTGAAGCCATTGCTCTTCGTTTCAGCTACCTTGAGAACCCATATGCAGCCTCTACTGCATTGAAAAGTAGATAAACACTCGTCTGCACGGTACTTTCTTTGCCTTCTATCAGAGTACAGCTTCACTGCTTTAACCAGCTCATCTTTATCTCCAAAAACCATCCCAACATGCAACTCACGTTCATCGAGCCATGTACTAGAGAGAATCATCTGCTTCGGGACACTAACGCAGAGGTCTATGGTTAGACTTAGCTTTTTCATCTTTGAATCCTTCTCTACAGCCTCATTATTACCATCATCCATAATCTTCTCATCTTTAACCCGCCCGTCATTTTTATCCTCTGGCGGGCTTCTTTGTGTAGTATTTCTCATACTCACATTTCCATGTGCATCAACATTAGCATCCTCTTGCCGAGAACGCTTTCGGGTTGCATGATTTGCCAATAGCGAGCGATTAGAAACAACCGGTTTGATCTCTAAGTAAAACTCCACAATATTGACAGAAGGATTGTAGCTTGGAACCTCAAGCATGGTCTCAAGGCTACAATCATCCACAATTGGTAAACGCATAAACTTGACCATCGGTTGCTGAACAATGGAAGGGTACCTACCAATCAAATCAATATGAAACTTTCCCCTTTGGAATCCAGTAAGTCGATGCAGACCATCCAACAATGTGGATAATTTAATCTTGCTTTCAACTCTAATCACTCTTGGACTTGACCCTTCGTAAATTGGACCATCAGGACCATCTTTAATACAACCATTCCAATAACAGAACACTGGAACCTTTCTTGTATCCATGAGCACCACAATACCTTCAAATAGAAACAAACTAACTTATGGGTTTCAATCGGAAAACACAAAGCCATGTTCGCAATTTGAGAAACCCTAGATCTCAATTGCAGAAGGTAACAATAGCAGCAACAATACGACATGGAAGACAACAATAAAGGAGAAAGCTTTTTAATAGAGAAGGTGATTCAATAAACCCAGCAAATGGATAAACCCTAAAAGCTTGACCTTTTTTTAATTTTTGTCGAATGCGACTTACAAGATGAACTGTGAGTGAGGTTAAAGACTACAACTTTTTACTTAGTTTAGGCGAAGAAAAGCTTACTTGAAGAAGACTCTTTGCGTAGTTTTACCCGAAGTTCTTCCGCCGTTGGCTGCGGTTATTTTGTCGGCGAAGAGAACACTTACTGAAATGGTAAAACGACGGCCCTATTGCAATTAATTTACAGTACGCTCCTACTTATGGTAAAAAAAAAATCAATTAATTGCGATTTTCATAAATGAGGCAAAACATGCCTGATTAGTGATAATGGAACAATTTTGATAAAGAATACGCTCTTTTCTGAAGAAAAAAAAAACCCTATTTTATTTACCGCATATCTTTGTGTTTTCTTTCTTAATCTTTTTAAGTTGAACCATCAACAGTTTGATCAGTTAGATTAGACTTTCTCTATTTTCTTTGTAACCAGATACAACTGTACTAAGCTCAATTATGTTGCACCGGTTCGAACCAAGAATCCAGGCAAAGAAAAAGTTATCACCATAACAAACAAGATCGATAGGTCAAGCTCAAGCATAATGGGTGATCGACAAAAAAACAGAGTGGTAGAATAAACAATGTGGATGTTATAAAACGATCTACATAACATATCGGGTGATGGACAAAAAACAAAGAGGTAGGACAAACAATATGATGTTATATAAAACGATATTGCATGGTATCGGGAAGACCATCTTATAAAAATTACAGAACCTAAATCTCTGTTCCGAGTCTGAGCCACACGGACCGACCAGAACCGAGCAAAACAGTGGACATGAGATGCCGGTTTCACTTGGACCAAGCAACAGCGTCGATCTCGGATTGGGCTGCTCGATACAACTCTAGCCGCTTCGAGATGGCACTGCGTCTCTCCATGATGGCTGGATCTTCGTTTAACAGAGACGAAAGCCTCTTCATCTGTTGTAATTGATCAGTTTTGTTCAGTCAACTATTTACCCGAATAGATTTTCTTTATGCTTAAGGCAAAAGAAAGGAGAGAACTTACGTCCATGGTACCGAGTTCGGCGAAGAAATGGTCAAGGAGACTGCGCTTGGCTTCTCGGACTTGGCAGTAAACGATGGACTTGGGGATTGAATTTCGCAGGCCAGCACAGACCATGTTCACGTAAGACAAAACATTGGATCCTGTTGCCAAATGTGAAAGGTGTATGAGATATAGGAATATATACCGCACCAGATAATTATATATTTATATGGTTTAACCTTACCAATTCGTCTGAGATAGGAATCGTTGTAGCGGTCGAAAATGGAGTGTGTGGGGTTACCACCCTTCTCAACATCCTGGGGAAGTTTCCTGAAGAAATCAACAGTGAGGTAACTGCACTCCATGTCAACCAGCTGCAGTGTTGCTTTCTTACTTCCTTCCCGCATTTTATCCAGCGACTCTATGGCTGCGTTTGTCACCTCCACTCTCAGAGCTGGGTATTGCTTTAGTTCCTGCACATGTTCAAACCGTCTATAACATTGTACAAAAGTACTAAGTCGTTGGAGGTATATATATATATATATATATATATTACTAAAAGAAAAAATAACGTACCACAGTCTCATTCACAGACTTGTGAACCAGATCCTTCAAGATGGCATGAACCTAATATTTAACCATAGGAAAATAAACCAAACAGGAGAGAAGCTTATTGTTTTTTGTTAGGTTTTTGATGCTTTTTTTTTTAGAGACGAAAGTAAAGAGTTCATACGGTGTCAACAGATGCTTCAGCAGGGCCTCTGATGGAGACAATAGAAGACTCAATGAGACGACGGTAACCTTGCTCAGGAGCAATCAAGTGAGGCTGGTAACCATCAGCCTCAGTGACCAGCTTCCGGATGTTGTCCATAGCTAGCTGCTTGTCAAATTGGAGTCTCTTCAGAGCCGCGGGAAGCTGGTTGTCAAACACGTTATACACTTTTTCACCACCAGCACGCCTGTGTAATCAACCATTGGCTCAGAATTACAATTTTCCTTTTGTAGTTTCAGATGATTAAGAGTCGAAATATCAACTCAGACACTATAACAACTCATGGTTTAATCTTAAACATTTGAAGCAAAAAGAGTCAAAACGTACACTCCATCAAGATGCTCCTTGAATATTTGATCAAAAAGCCGACATATCTCCATTATTGAGTACAACTTCCCCTGCACCAAAACAGTAAGTAAATATTGATAGCTAGCAATTCAATCAAAAATAAAAGAATACACAATCTTACCCCTGCATCAGCTGCAATAGGCTTTCCAAGGCGACTTAGTTCAGTTTCCAGCTCTGATACTGTTTTGTTAATAAGTGACTGAATGCCTGGAATTCTCGACTTGATCACATGTTCTAGATGCTGTGCAACAAAAAAAAATGTTGCAATTAGGCTCTGTGCTGATGGTTGTATATAGAGAAATGTGCTGAGCATTGCCAAAAACTTCCTAGTTTCTTAGTATTTTCTGTCGGCTGCTAAGAAAATTGGCACCAATCGTGAAAACACTAGCCCTGAAACTCCTATTTACCAGTCCTAACAAATTTCAGAATGCCAACTTCTACTTATTATAAGGACCCTGGTGAAGAAAACTACTCATATCCCCGTGAAAGCACATACCTTGGAGAGCATCTTTGCCAAATGCTCGGAACCCATTTTATGAGCAAGGTGCCTATACTCAGTAGTATTGGAAAAGTATTCCCTCTCTCTTTTCCGAGCCGCAATCATGTCGACATTCTTGTTAATATCTGCTTGGGAACGGTTGACGACACCAACCCATGGATATTTAAGTTTAAAAGATCTCCCTTCCAGAATCTGAGCAAAAAATATCATTTGGTAAGTAGCGGTGCAAGCAATAAACATTAATGAGGAAACATATGTATTATGTTACTACACAAATTAGCATTTTATAGCTCCAGCATCATATTATAGACTATTTACAAATATAAATCATTCTACATTTCCAACACATTGTATTCACAATAATTCGAGATTATAGTACAACTATTCTATAAACTGGGACTTTAACTTACTTCCACTGCATCAGTCCCCTTGTCCATAAGATCAATCTTTGTCAAGACACCAAATGTTCTCTCCCCTGTGAAGATCACCAAGATTAAAAGAGACATAGGATGACAGCATAATGTCTTGGGTCTCTTTGGTGGAAAAATAAGTTGTTTGTAAAATGCTCACCCGATGGATCAACCTCACGGGAAATTTTAATTGCATCTGAGGTAGCAAGATCTTGGTTTGCAGGTGAGATTGCCAAAATGATGCAGTTGGGCTATAAGGAAATTTAGTTCATAAAAAAAAACAGAATCGTGTCAACTCATTTGCGCTACGGAAACAAAACAAATATAGGGAGAATACTTATATATTACCAAACCTAATTTAAACTGGCGATATATAAAACATTAAAGGGTCTGGGAGTAAGCATTTCATTTACCTTTTCAATGTAGGACCGAACCATGTTTTCAATGTCCTTCACTATACTATCAGATTGTCCATCTACATCAACCAAAAGCAAATTTTCGTGTCATGCTAAATTATGTATGGTAGAGAATAAAGTCTATTGCCTCATGCTCCATCGCTAGAGAAGTAGACCAAAACTTCTTGCTCTACTGTTCCAGTATGGAGTGCGGTTAATGTAACTTACCAACAGCAACTTTTGTAAGCCCTGGAAGATCTATCAGTGTCAAGTTGACAACTGTACACATAGCAAAGAGGATAAAAAATTAGAGAATGACATGTCAGGAAAACAAAAAGCACATACAATTGGAAAGAGATTTTGGGTTGTCCTAACCATTGGGAGAGTATATGCTAAGGTGAATGGGAACACTAGAAATAGCCTTGCTGCGTCCAGTCTCTCTGTCAGTCTCATCTTGAATCTCCTTCCTCACAGCAGCTATAAGAGGTGATTAAAGTAAGCATTAATCAATGAATTATGCAATATAGGAGAAGATAAAACTTGAACTGCAAATGAGACAACCGGAACCCACCAAAATCAGTAAACCTTTTCCTCGGGAGGTGAAGAAACTCTGCATACTCCCGGGTTCCATCATCGATCTTTTGCAATTGTAAGACAAGGGGCCTTCGAGTAACGATGCCTACAAAAAGTTTCCGCAAATGCATATTGTCAATACACAAGGAAATAAGCAATTTCAATTTAAAACAAGGCAACAAGTGTTGACAGTGTAATTACCAGATCCACGGGGTAAAAAGTCCTTTCCCACGATGCTCTCCAGGACTGAAGACTTCCCTGAGCTCTGTCAACACAATAAGAATACAACATAAACTTTATGCTACATAGAATTATCAAAGTACAGAAACCCCTCTCCACAACAATCGTAGCTTAAATGGTTTAAGACCAACTAGTGACAAAAAGATCCAAGTCAAAGCCAAGTCCACATTCCCCAATACCAATTGCTTGCAAAACTAGTACATAGTAGAAGCTATTCAACTCTAATTCCTCACGATCCAGGTGTTGATAAGCAAAAACACCAAGTTTAAGCAAATTCATCTCGAATTCCTCAACTCAATATCAATTCGGAATCGTGAAATAGATCTTCAAGCATATAACGAAAGGGGAAGGAGATCGAGATGCAAACCTGACCACCGACGACGGCAATCGCAGGTAAGGAATCCCAAAGAGTAGGTAAAGCGCTGGAGTCTCCATGGTCTCCTAAAGCCGTGCAAGCTCTCTGTATCTTGTTAACCAGAGAGATGAGATTCTCCATCGTTCTCTACTCCTCGTTTCCCCAATATCAAATGAAGAACCCAAAATACAATAGCAGCTAGAACAGATCGGCGAGATCTGATACCTCCGCCGGTAAAATCTACTCCGGCAGGTGTAGATCTGCGATGCGACGGTGAGCTATGGAACCAAAGAAAGAGAGATAGAGAGAGATGAGTTTTTGAATTTGAGTCGATGAAGAAGAATTCGCTAGTGCTGGGAAAAAGCAAAGGGGAAGAAAGCGGTTTATATAAAAAGCCAATACAAGGTTTTTTCCAAAGAAAATGTGAAAACGGCATGGTGTTTATTCGATATTTTAAAAACGACGCGGAGTTGACTAAAAAGAAAAACAAAAACGACGAGGTGTGTTGTATATATACAAGTAGACAACCAATCCCCTTAATATTCCACATCTCTAACCAGGTAAATTAAATGATAATACTATTGGAGGATCAACCATACAAATATAACAAGGTCGATTTTCTTGTTTTAAAAAAAAAAGTGAATCGGTTTAATCTAAACAATACTTTAAAACTCGAATAAAAAGATTATCACTTATTATTATTAGTAGAGAAAAGTGATTTCATGTGGACCACGAACATCCTCATTACTCCTCCTATAAGCCAACGGTCCATAGATTGGGCGATTCAAAAAAAGATAAGAGACGTTGAGGATTATGATTGTTTATTCGAAAGAATGACACTAAACAACAAAATTACTGTAGTTTTGAAAATTTGAATGTATACACTCATATATTTAACGTAATATCTTTTCTAGACGTTCTACATGATGAGAAATACAAACCCACAAAATCTCCCTAGTATGTCACATAAAATTGTTTTTCAGATACACATTCTATTGGAGTTTATCCTCCAAGCATACATGACTAAAATTTTAATAAAACAAACTAATATAGACAACCAAATTGTCGAATAAGTTTAAACAACAGTTTATACAATCCTATAATGGGCCCCAAAAGAGCTTATTTATCCCAAATTGTGGACTATACGTTTGGGTGAATTTTACAACAATCTAAAAACATCATTGAGGTGATAACATAATATTGGATGTCAAAAAAGTAAAACTGTGATAACATTATTTGATGTCAAAAACAAAAAGAAGTGATACCATAACATTAGCCCTAGTAGGTCTTTTACTTTAAGTACATGCAACTAAACAATTACTCGATGACTCCGACCGGTAACACATGTTATTAAGGTTGAACTACAATCGATGTTATAATTTGATGTGATTTGCAGTAACGGTATAAACTGCAGATTGATGTAGTAAATTTGTTGTCAAATATGAGTTATCAGTCTGATCAAAACAAGTTACTACTCTTGTGCTTTAAAAGTTACCGTTTATGTTTTTTTATAGGATAAGTTGCAATATATGTTATTAAGATTAATTAAATTATATATTAATAATAATAAGAAGATTTATTACAAATTAAAATAAAATAAAATAATACTAACTTAAACATAGTTAATTTTTTGTTACATAATAACTACAAAAATAATTAATGACGTACATTTCATAGCATATTTAAAATAAAAACATAAATTAAAAAATTAAAAGATGTTAAGAAAATTAAGAAATTTAAATAACTATATTTTTATGATATGCTATTGAATAAAATTAAGATAATAACAACAATTTTTCTCTCATTATTCAAATTAAGTTAAGACATTTTTAAAAATTGTTGTTATTATCTTAATTTTATTCAAAACCTTAACTCATAAAAATGAGGTTGGAAAATGTGACATGTTATGTATTTATTTTTAGGTTTTTGGGGAAAATGACCATTTGATTTCTCAAGTTTTGCAATATCACACAATAATTCTCGAACTTTTACGTTCGCAAAATAAATCCCCATTTATACGTTGACTTCACATATTTAGGCTCCAAATTTGTCAACGTTCGCAAAAAAAATTGCCTCAGCAAACTTGTATTTGGTCACTAGTGAGATTTTATTTGGTAGCTTTGAGATTATTAATGTAAGTCTATGAATTTGATATTGTGATAAATTCTCATATTAGTTAATCAACATAAACTTAGCAACAATGTTGCAGGCATCGGTTCTTGCTTATTCAAAATTCAAAATTGATGTCAAGTTCTTGTTTTGTATTTGCATATTCATGTCAATCTAATTATGATTCTGCAAATATGATTGGAATTTGAATTTCAGAGGAAAACAAATAGCAATGGGGATTCTTAAAGTGACAAACTAGAGTCTGGTTTCATTGGAACTAAATGAAAACAACAAAAAAGATTGAGATTGAAACCAGGTTTGTTTTGCTCGATACTGCACTTCAACACCAGAATCACCAACGTCCAAAAATGAATTTAGGGTTTTCTCTGCTTTAAAAAGAGGATTTTGGGGAAGAAGAAAAGAAGAAGTTGAGCATAAATCTACTTAACATTTTTGAAGTACAAATTTGCTCAAAACCAATCGGGTCGGGTAATTAGTAGGATTTTGACCCGGATTTTTTTTGACCCGACTCAATGGCCAATCACATCTCTCGGATTCTTTTAAATGAGACTTGCCAAAAAGAAATTCAAGTAATTCGAGTCAATATTCGCTAAGATACTTTCCTAATCTAACAAATCCTAACAATTGAATCTCTTCCACAAATTTTGACTATTATTATGTATAATCTCTTTTGGTAAGATTTTTTCTACAAAAAGAAACAACAATAATTACATCATTAATTATACGTTAATAACAACTAAACATGGAATCCTAACAATATACCTTAATTTCGACGATTTATATATATATATATATCTTTTGGTAAACTTCTATTAAAAAAAATATGACAAAAACGAATGCATTAAAGATCCGATTTTAACAATTAAATATGGAATGCTAATAAAAAACATTATATGAAAATCAAATTTGTTCCCATAAAAATGGTAAGAGACATTTCGACTTTGAACTACAAAATGACATATACATTACCTACTTTTTCGTTTACAATAATATTTAGCATTATCTAGAGAATATGTCTGATATAGTTAGCATTAATTTTAATTTGCGAGATTTTCAAGATTTTGAACTTGATCACCAAGATTTTCTCGCTTTACAATCAAACATAACCCTAAACATCTACAACCTCTATATATAACATGTCAACACATGGAAAATAAAACCATCGCATCAGAAACATTTTACCTTTTACATCGAGGATGAAAGCTTTTCAATATCTCCATGGTTGGAGATGGCTTTACAAAATTGCATGACGAGTCCAAGTTAAGATCCTGCATCATGCCAATATACAGCCAAAACTGGTGAGATTCTAAACTCAAATATTATTGTTAGTTTCCAAATTCATTTTTTTTCTGCAGATTTGTAGATAACAAAAAACATGCTTGGCAACGATAGAGTCTAGCTCCGATCTGTTGGATGAAAGAGTGGTAATAAAAAGGAAACACATAAATGGTTTTGTTTCAATCTTTCTATGTAAAGCCTTTAGCTGCGTTTTGGTACTAAATTACACTATTGTATACATTCCTCCTCATAAAATATATCTATATATATATATATATATATATATATATATAATTGTGTTTCTTCTGGAAAGCTTTGTTTAAGTATTAGTTGGATTAGATTTGAGATAATCTATGTTTATAAAATTTTTTCAACCAGAAATTTTATGTGTCTAGGCAATGAAGAATTAATATGACAAGATACTATCTTCCCCTAGCCTACATGTATACTCTAACCCAATAGAGAGATAAATGAATGAATAAGATTTTAATGAAAGACTTATCTGTTTGTACTCCATTGTAGGAAAATGTTCTTTAAGAATAGAATCCTCCTTTAAACTTAGCCTCCCTCTTCAATCAGATCAACTCATTATCTAGACAATGAAAAACCAAGCATATAATATTAGAACATCCATGAACAACACAACAATCATCTTAGTTAGCAAAGCCAACACAAGTGTGTTCCTTTTACCTTCTCAGCATACTCTCTCGCATACTGCTCAGCTCTCTTGAAGATGAGCTTGCGGGTCTCAACACTCTTCTTCTTAGCAGCTACAACTTCATCTTTCTTGACCAATGTCCATTCCACTCGATGGTCATTTTTAGCACAGACTCTTGGAACTACTACCTTAGATTCCGCCATTTCTCTTACATACATACCATTCCACAAAAAAAGCAAAAATAAGCTATACTAATCAAAACAAACAAATGAAAAAAAAAACCTTTGAGAAATTGAACAGATTTTTAATCATAGAGACTCAAGCAACGTAGGAACATCTTGGAGAAATTGCACAGATTATGACAATGTTTAAAACCAAACAACAATATGAAAAGGAGAAATAAGAGAAGATCGGTAACTCAACGCAACGATACCATAGCTATAATCAAAATTGAACTACTGTATCTACAATAGAACTGGAACAATTGGATTTATCGATCTCACAAACATCATAACAAGTAAATTATAATGAATCAAAGAAAGTTTACTAGAAACAAAACTAAACGAGGAAGATCAAAGAAAGAAGCTTACTTGAGAGGAAGAAGAAGAAGTATGAGAGATCAATTACCAATTCTCAAACAGATCAATTACCAATTCTCAATCTGACCACATCAATTCTTACTGTTCTATATATCAAACGGATCATAGAAACCTAATTTTGGATTACCCTAATCCCAATTCTAAGAATCCTAATTTTGCATTACAATAATCCCAATTCTAAGAACCGTAATGATAACAACGGATCATAGACGGATTTCGACTCCTCTCTCTTCTCAGAGTAACGGAAATCAACCAGAATCGAAGATTTCGCTTCACTCAGCTTTTGTCGGCAAAGGTCGAGAAAGGGAGAGAGGGGACAAAATGCTGAGAAAAAAAAAACACGTGAACAATTTTATTTTTGGTTTTGTCTTTACTCTTCCCCCACTCATTGGACCGATCGGAAACTTTCTAAATCGAGTTTGGTTATCGCATCGGTTCAGTTCAATTCATCATATCCTCCGGTCGGATTATAAAACAATTAATGACACAATCAATAAAAATCCGATTTAATATTAAGAAAATAATTCTTGGACGTGTATTATATAATTTTGACGATATAATATTTTCATGTAACTAATTCCATATTTACTTTCAATTTTATTTATTTAGTATTTAATTCTAGCCAATTATCTAATTAACACAAACTTTTTTATGTTATTAGCATTCTAATATATAGTGTTCTTCTATTTTAAATAGATCCCACATATATCATATATTAACAACATTATAAATATTTAAACTTTATAAAACATTTAAAGTATTTATAATATTTAAATTTTATAAAACATTTATAATATTAATAGTATTTGAGCTCTATAAAAATTAAAAATTAAATATTATGGGAACTATTTATAAGAAAACTTTAAATTGACTCGAATTATGTCTTTATAAACATAATATTTTTTTTTAAAAAAAATAATAAAATGATGTTTAATTTCACCGGATGGAGTTATATGGTGGGACGGGTTATGATCGATATTAATACGGGACGGTGTACCACGAGTGAAATACTAGAATTAACAAATAAAATACAAGTATACAATCATAAACACTAAACAAAACAAACAATATTAACAAAACAACTACAATTTAAAATTAAAACTTTTTAGTTACTAAAAATTCAATCCGCGATATACCACGGGTAAAATCAAACTTTATTACAAACCAAATACAAACAATCATAAGATTATAAACAAAATTTTTTTTTAATCTAATATATATATATCACAAATAATCAAATTATAAAAAAAAAAAAAACACAAACAAAAAAATATTTAACCCGCGGTATACCGCGAGTCATACCCTATTGTGTTTTATTAACGGGGACGTTTATTATTTAACGTTGACAAATTTGGAGTCTAAATTTGTGAAGTCGACGTATAAATGGGGATTTATTTTGCGAACGTAAAAGTTTTGGAATTATTGTGAGACATTGCAAAACTTGAGGAATTAAATGGTCATTTTCCTAGGTTTATGGGATGTATGTCTCCCTAAGACCCTAACATCCGTATAAATTTAGTTTTCTAAGGGCTTGACTGGTTTAAACGCAGCGGTTGCGGTTGCGGTTGTGGAGTTTGCGGAAGCGGGCGATTGCGGTTTTAAGCGTTATTTAGCGTTTTGACCGACTGGTTTAGCGGTTGAAAACGGGTGCGTTGCGGGAGATTTACGACTGGTTGATCAGCGGGTATGATAGCGGTTAAACCAAAATTTACTAAATTTAATATATTGATTATAAAAAGGTATAAAACATCAAAAACTATAATTATGAAAAGTATAAAAATTTTAAACATGATTAATGATTAAAAACCATAAATAATTATTCAAATAAATTTTATATTGAAAACAAAAATAATTATTAATATTGGAAAATTAAAGTTAGATAATTATTATTTTTGAAAAATTAACGTGAATGTAGATAAGATTTAATAATACAGTAAAACCTCTATAAATTAATACTCTATAAATTAATAACCTCTCTAAATTAATAAATTCTTCCGGTCCCGAGTTGGGACTAATGTAAAATATGACATAACTCGATAAATTAATAAGATAATAATTTTTTTGAAAATCTAATGTAAACATATGGTCCCATCTATAACATAAATTAATAATTATATAAACATATCTATATATATATATATATGTATATTTAACTTAATATATATATGATATAAATTTATATATTTCATATATGAATTACTACGATATATATTTAAAATATTATATGTAAAAAGTTTAATGAAATATGACTCTATTATTCCAAAAAGTTTGTGTTGTTTCTTAAACTTAATAATTGTTTCTCTACTTACAATTGGTTTAAAAAGATATTGCTTATAAATAAATTTTTTATTTTTAGATGGAAATTTTTAAGAAATTACCAAATTAGGAAAATCTCTCTATAAATTAATAATTTATCGATAAATTAATACCTCTCTAAATTAATAAAATTTTATGGTCCCAACATTATTAACTTATAGAGGTTTTACTGTATATATTTTAATTTATTCATTTTCCTTTTTTAGTTTCTTTCTTTTTTTAAACCAACCGCAACCGTCCGCAACCGCAAACGCTTGCGGGAAGGAACTTTTGAGATCCAGCGATTTCGAACGATTCGAAGCGGTATGAAGTGGTTTCTATGATTAGTACCAACCGCTAACAACCGCAACCGACTGCTAACAACCACTAGGCGGATGCTAGCGGGAGAATCAATCAAGCCCTAAGAGACATATACTTGCAAGGGTCACACGACTGATTTGCTGTGTGATTTTTTCGAATTACGATTCTTGAATTTAATCTCTAAGACTCGTCTACTATTTCATATGTCTTGCATTATATGCGAGTGGAAGATGATGGTGTAGAGTCGGGTTGTGCAGAGAGGATAAGAGTTAGACATTCAAACAATGTGAAGGAGATGTAGAGATTGAATAAAAAAACGTTGGAAAAAAAATAAATTTCGAGAAATCAATGAAAAAAGCATCTAATGGTTGAAATTTGTGGATGATTAATTTCTTCTTCAACCTATACATCCAATTTCCGACCAATTCACAACGAAATTCATCACTAAACAAGTTTCTTCTGCATAAATATCTTTGAAAATTCTAATTTGTTTCTAGAATCCACTAAAAACCGTCAAAGATGGTGGTGGTTTGTTCCCTTAATGATGAAGGAAAATGGGTTCCCTTGTTGTTAATAAAAGAATAGTATTTATTTTGTTCCTTAAAAAAGAAAAAAGGTCACCACCCAACCGTTTTCATCGGAAAGTTAGAATAATTTGTGTTTGGATCTGACATCTGAGATTGATTAATCTCTCTGTGAACGAAACACTAGTCCCCTTGTTCTCCATGGATTTCTCTTCACGCTTCTCATCGATCGTTCTCCTTCTCTTCATCTCCATCTCCATAGCTTCTGGTGAGATTCGCAAATCGGAGATCCGATCCGATGACCGACCCATCATCCCTTTAGACGAATTCGGTTTCACTCACACGGGTCGTCTCGAGCTTGACGCTTCCAAGATCTCGCTTTCCAACACCAATCCCGATCTAGATCTCTCCAAAGTCGGCTTCTTTCTCTGCACTAGAGACGCTTGGGTTCATGTGATCCAACAGCTTGAAGAAGAAGAGATCACATGCGCTCTACAATCAGATCTCGTTAAGCATGTCTTCACCTTCAACAACCTCAAGGGAGATAAGAGCAGATTCTCCACCGTATTCACCGAGAACGATGCCGATCAGTACTCTCTCGTCTTCGCTAATTGCCTCCAACAGGTCGAAATCAGTATGGATGTTAGATCTGCTATGTATAACCTTGAAGGTAAAAAGGGTGGTCGTGATTATCTCTCTGCTGGAAGAACTGTTCTCCCAAAGGTCTATTTCTTCTTCTCTGTTATCTATTTCTCTCTCGCTGCCACGTGGATCTACGTTCTCTATAAGAAACGTCTCACTGTTTTCGCAATCCATTTCTTCATGTTGGGAGTTGTTGTCTTGAAAGCTTTGAACCTTCTTTGTGAGGCTGAGGATAAGTCGTATATTAAGAAAACTGGAACAGCTCATGGTTGGGATGTCTTGTTCTACATTTTCAATTTCCTTAAGGGTATCACTCTTTTCACTTTGATCGTCTTGATCGGCACGGGTTGGTCTTTCTTGAAGCCCTACTTGCAGGACAAGGAAAAGAAGGTCTTGATGATTGTGATTCCTCTCCAGGTTGTGGCTAACTTTGCTCAGGTAGTTATCGATGAGACTGGACCATATGGCCAAGATTGGGTCACATGGAAACAGATCTTTTTGCTTGTTGATGTCGTCTGTTGCTGTGCTGTTCTGTTTCCCATTGTCTGGTCCATCAAAAACTTGCGTGAGGCCGCTAAGACTGACGGGAAGGCTGCTGTGAACCTGGTTAAGTTAACTCTGTTTAGGCAGTACTACATTGTGGTTATCTGCTACATCTACTTTACTCGTGTTGTTGTGTATGCACTGGAGACCATTACCTCTTACAAGTATATGTGGACTAGTGTTGTTGCCAGCGAGTTAGCCACACTTGCGTTCTATCTGTTTACTGGCTACAAGTTCAGGCCAGAGGTGCATAACCCATACTTTGTTGTTGATGATGAGGAAGAAGAGGCTGCAGCTGAGGCCCTGAAGCTTGAAGACGAGTTTGAATTGTAAGTCATCACTGGAATAATCGTGTGAGGTGTGAGTCAGTAAAGTAACATACTTTGTTTGACAGGATGATTTTGAGTAAACCGGATCATCACCTGCCTGGTAAATCAGCTTCTCTTCTTTGGTTTTTTCTTCTTCTTCTGTTATCTTTCTTAGAATGCAATACCTGTTTTGTTTACTTGAATTGTTAGGATACTTATATAGACTCTATGAATGTCTTATCCCCAATGCATAGTATGTGTATTACTGGTAACATAAAACGCTTGGTGCTCTTTATACTTAATCTGAGTCTTTGCTTTTAATTTGATAGACAAAATGAATGATTAGAAAAGTTGCTTAAGGAAGCAAACTTGAAAAAATAGGCAAACTTTGTTCACTACTACTATTTTTACCTTGTTGGATCTGTATTTATATCTTTGTCTGAAGTGACAGCCGAAAGAATTGGTATAGTGTGTGGAGGTGGAAGAGATTAACATTGAATGGTTATGGTGGACCATAGATTGATTGGTCACATAAATACAAAAAAATTGGCGGAAATTAGGTGTATGAATGTAGAGGTGATTTATTGAAGGAGATACACATGTTTTACCTTGAATAATTAGCACTTGTTACTTGTGCCAAGATTCTTGTCTGCCACTACTCTGGCCTCAAATGTCTTCAAGTTATAA